GGCCCGCGTGGATCGGGGTGGAGGGTGCAGCGGGCCCTTCTCAGCGCCGCAGAGAATCCTGTGGGTTCCAGAAGGTGGAGCGCGGGCGGCGGCGTCGGGACGCGTCCCAATATCTCCTCTCTCCGCAGCTCCTGAGCCACTGCCTGCTGGTGACTCTGGCCAGTCACCTCCCGTCTGATTTCACCCCTGCTGTCCACGCCTCTCTGGACAAGTTCTTGGCCTCCGTGAGCACCGTGCTGACCTCCAAATACCGTTAAGCTGGAGCCGCGGCGACCCTCGCCCGGGCTGGGGGCCCCTTTGCGCTCCGCGTACCGGCACTTCCTGATCTTTGAATAAAGTCTTAGTGGGCTGCAGCCTGTGTGGCCTGGGTTGTCTGTGTCCTCGAACGTGCCAGGGAGGGGGCTCGTTCTCCTTTCCTGGGACCAAGGACCTTCTGCAGTGGGCGAAGAGAGGGAAGGGGATAAAAGGGCACAAGAGAGAGAGAAGCCAGTCCTGCTGCCACTGCCTGGGGTTCGCTGGGCTACCCTCTACCCTCACTCCTGAGTGCTTTGCTGCATACATTCCCCTCCCCACCTCCCACATATCATTCTCCAGCCTTTGCTATTTAAACGAGTTCGCTCCAATAATGGATTCGTTTTCCATCTTTACATTTTATGACACAACACACTTGCTCTGAGCGTTGTCCAGCCTCCAGCCTAAGACCTCTGAGCAGTCCTAGGGCTCCTGCCAGAGGTGAGCGGTGGGGAAGACAGCAAGTCACACTCCAGAGTTGTAGTGAATGCTCCCCTCTCCATCGAGCGCCTCCCAAATACACACACAGTCTAGATGAAATTGGGGTTCAGCAATGCAATTACAGATGCTAGGCAATTTCCTGGAGACACCTATTTCACTTGGTGACACCCCCTATGATGCTCACTCTGCAGTCACTGACATCCTGGGGCCATCGCAAGTGTGGAGGCCCAGTTTTGGGGCCTCTTTAGGCATCAACTGCACCCCCCTGAGGCTGGCACCTCAGAGGCCCACTGACTTCCCTTAATGTTGCAGCTGAAAGGAGAGTCAGGGCCAGGGAGCCTACACCCTGATGTGCTTCCTCTCCACAAAGCAGGCCCATAGTGCCTTCGACTTTAGAGTGAGGGCTTGAGGTGTCTGGCCCGGATTGCAGTCCAGCCCCAAACCTCTGAGAGCAGTGTCTTTTCTTCCCTGTGCCCAAGAGTGGTCCTTGGAAAATGAGATAGCACGTACCCTGCCTCAGTTTGTGATGCTTTTTAGCACAGCTAGTGGCATAGTCTGAGCTCTCAGTACAAGGCAGTCTTCCTTATTTTATTATTAGGAAAAATGGAGACCTAGGCTAAAAGTGGAAACAACCCAAACATCCAGCAACTGATGAATGGACAAAGAAAATTGGTTCATTCAAACGATGGAGTGTTACACAGCCAGAAAAAGAAATGGAGTATTGATAAATGATACAAGGTGGATAAACCTTGAAAATGTGCTAAATGAAAGAAGCCAGACACAAAATACCATATATTGCACAATTCTATTTATTTGAAATGTCCAGAATAAGCAAATCCACAAAGACAGAGCAGCAGATTGATGGTTGCCAGGAGCAAGGAAAGGGATTATAGAGTGACTGCTAATGCGTAGAGTTTCCGTTTGGAATGATGAAGAAGTTCTGGAACTGGATAATGGTTAACAGTTATACAACGTTGTGAAAGTAATTAAAGACACTGAATTGTACACTTTAAAATGGATAAGATGGCAAATTTTATGTTATATAAATTTTACCACCACCATCGCCATAACAAAAAATGCGTAGAATGGTGCCTGGTAGGGAACCAGTGCCACATAGGTATTAGCTATTATTATTAGGATACATCCTAGGCTCTCAATAAATGTTCATTGTCCTGAAAAGAACATCTACTATGAGCGAGGCACTTGACATTTCTTTTCCATTTAATCCTCACAACCTTGGGAAGAAGAAATTACATTCATTTTATACAATAAAAGAGGAAATAGACTCAGGGAGGTGTCACAACAGACTTGTGAGGGAGGTAGAATAAGTTAAAGCGCAAAAAATCCATACAAAAATTCAGTGTTATCTAATAATAATATATATTAAATATTAGTTTCCATATAGTAAACACTACGGAAATGGGAGCCTCGGGATCCAGGGCGATTGATTGGTAAAGTCCCAAGGCAGAGCAGACGCAGGAGATTGGACGCTCCATGATTCCTCCGGGCCAGAATCTGTGGAGTGGCGCCCCCTGGAGGCCGCGGGGAGTCGCCAGCCGATCCGCGCAGGCGCAGCCCGGTGCTCTAAGCGCCGGCAGCTGGCGCGGGGCTCGGCGATGGTGCTGTCCGCCTCAGACACCGCGGCAGTGCGCGCGCTGTGGAAGAAGCTGGGTAATAACGTCGGCGTCTACACGACCGAAGCCCTGGAGAGGTGCGGACAGGCTCCGGCGCCCTCCGGGCTCACCTGCCTTTCCACGCGTAGTGGCGATGCGCCCCCGCTCCTCTCGGAAGACAAGCGCCCACACCAGAGGCACAGCATCTCACTTTCTGTTCCTCCCTCAGGACCTTCCTGGCCTTCCCCTCCACCAAGACCTACTTCCTCCACCTGGACCTGAGCCCCGGCTCCACCCAGGTCAAAGCCCACGGCCAGAAGGTTGCTGACGCACTGACCCTGGCCGTGGACCACCTGGACGACTTGCCCCACGTCCTGTCAGCTCTGAGCGACCTGCACTCGCACAAGCTGCAAGTGGACCCCGTCAACTTCAAGGTTAGCATGCGGGCTGAAGCTGGACCCGCTTGCCAGGGGTGGGAGGAATTCTCACCAGGGAAGGGTGTGGAGGGACAGATGGACAACTCCCTCTCTCCGCAGCTCCTGAGCCACTGCTTGCTGGTGACCCTCGCCAGGCACTACCCTGGAGACTTCAGCCCTGCCCTGCAGGCCTCACTGGACAAGTTTCTGAGACACGTGATTTTGGCTCTCGCCTCCGGCTATCCCTAAACTGGGAGTGGATGGTCGGTCGCAAGAACCCCCAGCCGCCCCTTCCCGCGATTTTACAGTGTTTGAGTAAAGTCCCCGGAAGAAAGCCTCCGCCTGAGTGCGTGTGTTCCCTAGAAGGTGCGCAGCAGGGGCCTGATGGGTTTGGGGGAGAGGTGTGCCTCTGTCCCAAAGGAAGGGTAGGGATCTGGGGAGGCCAGCGCCACACGCACATCCCGCCATAGTTAGATCAGGGCGCTCCGCTGGACGCCCTGGGCCGCCGAGAGGAGATTCAGGTCGTCTTCAACTCCGACTCCCAAATGCCATATCATGAACTCTCACTCACCATGCCGCTATTAGCCGCGGCCACTTGGAGGCGCAGACCCGCGGCTTCTGCCCCTTGGGAGTGGGGTGACGGGTAGGGGGATGTCATGCGTTTGTCTCAGTTGACGAGGTCTGGCCCTTCCCCAGAGCTGCTCGCTTTGAGGGACTCCTCTCAGATCCGGGTACGCGGGACCTGGTCCCTCACCCACCTAGAAGCGAGGGCGGGATTCGGGGTACAGATTCTGAGAAAATTAGGGAGCTGCGGGCAGAAACTTGCATGGAGCTCAACCTGCGCAATCCTACACAGAGCCTCTAGAAGGGTATTGGGGTCTTGTTTGCCAGACTCTGGACCTGGTGGATGGAATGAGGTGGATGCTGCCCCAGAACCCAGTCATGTAGCAAGGTAGACCAGAGAGCCAGTCCAGAACCCTGCCTACATCCACACTTCTATGGAGACAGGTTTCAGAACTGCTTTTAAATTTTTTTCCTCATAAAATTAATTGTGCTCATCATAGAAACTAAAAAATGCAGTAACTACTCCACTTACAATATACTTCTTGAGTATCCCAGTGGGTCCAGCCCACCCATTATTCCATTAATTCCTGCTTGACACATAGGGAAACTATGTGTAAACAAATAGAGGACATGGGAATCAGATCCAAGAGCACATACATATAGACATACCACATACAAACAGATACAAACACACAAACTGGCAGAAACAGCTCCATCCAGATATGTAACAAGGTAACATTTAAGGTACAGCCTTTCAGGTCCTTCTAGGCACATTTGGAGATACTTTTTTTTAAGAAATGGTGCCCTTGAAATGACACTGGAAAAAGTGGATGTACTGGACTTTAAAGAGAGAAATACTCGCTATGGGGAGAGAAAAACACGAGCAAACTTAAAAGAACAGGGAGAAAAATATCTTCCATAAACAGAAGACAAAGGGTTGTTATTACAAGGTAGACCTCCGAATTCTTTTTTTCTCACCCCCTCCACCTTTTTCTTTTTAAAGCCAGTCAACTCTATAGAAAAATAAGCCAAAAGATGAACAGAAAACTCAGCGTACCAATGGCCAACAAACATTTGTGACAATGCACAAAGCCATGCAAATAAAAATGCTCATTAACAAGACACCTGTCATAAAAAGGAGTGCAATACACTTCTGGTGGAAGTGCAATGTAGTATATAACCTTTTGGGAAGGTAATTCAGTTGTATACACTTGTGGGCCAACGAATGTTTAGTAACTGGCACTCTGGAAAAGGAGAAGGGGGCTGAATCTGTAGCATTTGCCAGTTTCCATTGTGTAAATATTGCCATTATGGTTGATTTGAAGCTATCGATATGCTATCACTGAACAGGAAATTAGGAAGAGATGCACAATATCTGCTATTATGTTGTATTTCTAGCAAGAGACTTGAAAATAGATAATAGTAAAATACAGTAACATAATTAGGAAGTAATGAGTTTTCAGTATTTATCACCTTTGTTTTTAAGGCAATAAGTCTATTTATTTGTAAATTAACATAACTTTTAATAGTGGTTGTGTTTAACAATCAGCTCTCAGAATTCCTAAAAGTTTAACTCGAACTAATCTAAGCAGGTTCTAGCACACCACTGATTGTATCCTTTAAAACTAAAAAGTACAAATTACCTAGGCCTGCAGTCTTGCTTCTGAGAATCGATCCAACAGAAAACAGTGGCACACATATATGAAGACATTTTGTGTACAGTGATGTTCTTTGCAGGACCGTTTATTAGAGAAGAAAAAGAAAAAGAAAATAAGAAAAAATATGGCGCATACCCAACGCCCAACATTCTTCAATATAAGTTAAATAAATTATAGTAGAGTCACACAAGGGACCACTGTATAGCCATTAGAAAGAATGAGGTCAGCCTTTGGGCACAGACATGAATAATGCCAAGACGTTCGTATAACAAAGCACACTGCAGGTCAATGTGTGGAGCATAAATCCATTTTTATATTGATATAATCACAAGAAAACTTGAAAGTAATACACACTAAATGTTAGCAGCAGGTTTCCACAGGCATGAGACTAAAGAGACAGAGAAGGCAATTGTCACCATACTTTCTATAATCCCAGAAAAGGAAAGTGGTTGGGATATGAGTGATTTTTCATTTGTGTGTATATGTTCTTCATTTTCACAAATAATTTGTAGAAAACCTTGCCCTGAATATTTGCAGTTAAAATTCTAAGCACAAACATCTAATCATAATTATTTCTTTGAGGAATTTTATAGAAGTGGAATCTTTGGGGTAAATAGTATGTCCATTGCCATGGCTTTTTGTTATTGCCAAAATTGCCTTCCATTACAGTGTCACCAGCAGGGGGCGAGTGCCTGCATCCCCTCCACTGCTCTCCATGGTTGGTAGCTTCCATTTATTTGATTACTCAGGAAAGGTAAACATTGTTGGCTCCATCTTTAACTTCTTTGTGTGAGTCACCCATTGTGTCCTTTGCCCATTTTCTACTGTGGCATTTTCAAGATTAACCCACAGAATCCCTTTTCTGTAGACCTGTAGAAGGCTGTTGGTCCATCTTATACATTGAAATTACTTGCCCATTGTGTGTGTGTGTGTGTGTGTCTCTCTCTCTCTCTCTCTCTCTCTCTCTCTCTCTCTCTCTCTCTCTCTCTCTCTCTCGGAGGTGATTCTTCCTCTAAATACCCATCTCTTTCTTCAGATCTCTGGGCCCTGTTACTACTCCAGGGCTTTGCCTGCTCTGAGCTGCCATTTCCAGCATGGGAAGAGAGGCTACAGTTTTTATTTATACATAACTAAAATGCTAGATAAAATGGTTTAAATCTTATTAAAAGCATCAAAGAACAAATGGGATGATAAGAAATTTTTAGGCAAAAGCCAAATAAAGGTGAGAACTCAGAGAGGTGATCATGGCACTGAAACAACTTGAGTCCTGAGGTATTTATCAAAACTAGCAAACTCAAGCTGTGATTTTCTTCCTTGTGGGCTCATGTGTTAAAAGGGCCAGTATAAGGTGAGGTGCCTAATAGGTTACTCTTCCCATAAAGCTGGGGCCCCAAAAGGCTACACCTACTGAACAATTCCCTACTCTCCCTGAGCACGGGGACTGAAAACAAACAAAAAACAAAACCACCTTGGTGTTCGGCAGAAGAGGGAAAATAACTCCCTGATAAACTGAAATCACACGCTGACACTCTGGATTTGCAGCCCAGTTCATATCACCTGAGTGATCCCCCCAAAAAATCTCAGGCTGTGGATTTCATTTAAAACGATCCTAGACTTCCCTCAGAGAGCCCAGGTACCTGGGAAAGGCAAATAAATCCTCCTGCGATAAAGGCACTTTATTATAGGCCACAAAGGGCAACAAGCGGCAAACTCAGCGAGCACATGGAAATAAGGAAATAAGGCACCGTGTATGAAAGCCCAGACATATGAGTCATCAGAAAAGATCCACAGAAGTATCAGGCACTGAAGATACCAGATTCAATTACAAGTATGCTTACTATGTTTATGAAATTAGAGACGAGATTTTTAAATACCTGCAGGGAGCCATAAAATATAAAAAGTGACATAGCACATGTCACAAAGAACTTTTAGAAATGAAAAATACAGTCATCAAAAATTGAAATTCAATGGGTAAGTTTAAGAGATAAAACAGTCATAGAATTAGTGAACTTAAAAATAGATTAGTAGAACAAATTATCCAGACTCCAGCCCTGACATCTCATTCAATTTCATGTCCCTGGTGTCTCACTTGCCTCACTCTATCTGATTCTACTAAAAAATGTACTTGCAGAAGAAAATTGATTCTAGGGGGAAGTCCAAGATGTAAAAGGGAATGAAAAACAAAGTGGTAAATACAAACACTGACTGTATATAAAATACTATTGTCTATGGGGTTAAAAAGGAAAAAAACAACTAGACAGACATAAAACACTAAACAATAAGAAGTCAGAAGGGACTCAAGGCAATCAAGTGCTCTGAAGTCCTTGTGCCATCTGGGAGGCAAACAGATGTTTTCATTAACTTTAGATTTTGGGAAGTGTATTAGTTTCCTATTGTTGGTGTAACACAAAGTTAGTGACTTAAAACAACACAAATCTATTCTCTTACAATTCTGAAGGAAGTGCAAAATAAACTTCATTATGCTAAAATCGACATGTCAGCAAGATCAGGGGAAAATCCATTTCCTTGCTTTTTTGGTTTCTAGAATTGCATTCCTTGGTTCTTGGCCCCTTCTTCCATCTTTAAAACCAGTAGCATCTTGCATTCTTCTGTAGTCAAACCTGGATAATCCAGATTTGTAGGTCCATCTGGATAATCCAGAACAATCTCCCCATCGCAAAACCTTTCATTTAATCATGTCTTCAAAATCCCTTTGCCATCTAAAGAAACCTTCACAGGTCCAGGGATTAGGACCTGGGTATCTTTGGGGGCCATTATTCAGCTACAACAGTTAAGCATACATGTTCTATAGAACAAATAGAATGTATGACTTCTAAGTTGACAGAGAGGGAAAGGGGAAAGAATGTTAAATTATTCTAAAACAACCCTCCCCACAAATGAGAAAAAATGGAGAGAAAAAGAATAAGAATGGGTATGACAAATGGAAAACTCAAAATAAGATGGTATCAACAAAACCAAATATGTTAACTACATTGGTAATAAATGACTTAACTGATCCAAATAAAAGATAAAGATCAGACCCCCGTAGACTTTAAGATAACAGGCAGAGTCAAAGTGTTACTAACAACAAGTGAGGACAAACTCTAAAGTGGACCCCATGATCCTCACCTCCTGGTATTCACACTCTTTTGTAGTTGCCTTTGTGTGGGCTTTGCTTTTAATATAGTTAACACAAAAGTTAACCATTTTAACCACTTTAAAGTATATAATTCTGTGGAATTTAGTACATTCATGTTGTGCAACCATCATCACTATCTAGTTGCAAAACTTTTCATCACTCTAAAAAGAAACCCTGTACCTATTACCTACTGCTCACTCCCCACTTCTCTCTTACCAAGTCCCTGAAAATTACTCATCTACTGTGTATGGATTTACTAATTCTGGATATTTCATATAAATGGAATCATATGTGGTCTTTTGTGTTTGCTTTTTAACATATTTTCAAGGTTCAATCATGTTGCATCATGCATCAGAATTTCAGTCCTTTTTATGGCCAAATAGCATTCCATTGTATGAATAGACCACATTTTGTTTTTTGTTTATTCATTCATCTGTTGATGTATATTTGGGTTGTTTCTACCTTCTAGCTATTATTAATGGTGCTACTACAGACATGTGTACAAGTATTTGAGTTCCTGTTTTCAATTGTCTTGGGTATATACTAAGAATGGAATTATTGGGTTATTTATTTTTGTTTCTCAACTTCTTGAGGAACTACCAAACTTTTGCCACAGCAGCTGCCTATTTTATATTCCCACCAGCAGGGTATGAGAGTTCCAATTTCTCCACATCCTTGCCAGCACTTATTTCCTTCCTCTCTTTTTAAATTATGGCCATGCTTTTAATCCACGGAATTCAGTAAGGGGGTGGGATGTCATTTACATGATTAACTCCATGCCTCTCTTGCTAGGAGACCCTCTCCCTTGTTGACTTTGAACATGCACACTGCCATGTAGTGAGCTGCCCTATGAAAGCCTCTTGATGACAGCAGGAAGGTAGCTGAATCCTGCCAATAACCAAGTACACCTGGAAGGATCCTTCTCTAAGACAGCTGGGCCCCAGATGAGACACCTCAATTGCAGCCTGTGAGAACGCTACTAAACTTGACTCCTGATCCTCAGAAGTTGTGAGATAATGTTATTTTAAGTAGTTCCGTTTGTGGTAAATGATTTTCATATGTCAAGAGAGTGATGACCTCTGGGAGGACAGAGGAATTGTAATAGGGGAAGACGGGGGCTTCTCAGGAGCTAACAATGTCCTATTTCCTGACCTTGATGGATATGCAGGGCTTGCTTCTTATTCTCTAAACCAGGAATCCCCAACTCCTGGCTGTAGACCAGTACTGGTCCGCGGCCTGTTAGGAGCTGGGCTGCACAGCAGGTGGTGAGCAGCAGCCAAGCGAGTGAAGATTCATCTGTATTTGCAGCTGCTCCCCAGCGTCAGCATCACTGCCTCAGCTCCACCTCAGATCAACAGGTATTAGATTCTCATAGGAGCACCAGTCCCTTTTGCCTTGAACAGTTCTCTGCTATCTTCTGTAGGGAGAGAGGCTGGGCCTGGCTAGGGGCTGATTGGCCTTAAGTCCCAGGTATGTTGGACCTTGGGTGGGATGGGGAGAGAGGTGGCAGCCTCAGAAAAACTGGGAAAACATAATACTGCACTGTATTATATGATTATATATACAACATATAATTATATATACAATAATACTGTATTCTACATTTGAAAGGTGCTGAGTAAAGCTTAAAAGTTCTCATTACAAAAAAATTTTGTGACTGTGTGGTGATGGATGTAACTGGACTTCTTGTGGTGATCATTTCTCCACATGTTGTCATTATGTTGTGCACCTGAAACCAATGTTGCCAATTATCTCTCAAAAATAAAAGGTGGCCCCAGTCCTGGTGGAGGGAGTCCCCTTCAGAAAGCAGCCCCTCAGCCCCCAGGTGCTCAGCGGGGAAGTCAGGCAGACAGGGTGACATGGGCAAAAGGGCAAAGCCAACGGGGGAGCTGGAAGATTCAGGAGTCCCAAGAAAGGAAGAGAAGAGCAGGAGCAAGGGTCAGAAAAGCACCAGAGAACTGCAGATCCTCAGCCTTCCCTAGTGCCCGCAGGGAAGACTGGCTGCCTCTGGCTGGCACTCTTGGGGGGATGATGAGGCCTGCTCCTCCATGGGCTGGGCCAGGGACCACAGGCCCCTGATGGCAGATCTTGTACCTGTCCATGAGCAGCCTTCAGCTGTTATCTGCGACCCTGTGCCCAGGTTAAGTGCCTGTGGGGATGTGACTAAGAGAAAAGGTGCGGGGTGCGGGGGTGGGGTGTGGGGACTAATGTAGGGACTGTGCGGTGGACATAAAAGGAATACGTTGTGCCAGCAACTGAAGACATAACTCCTCAACCACCTTTTCCTAAGGTCCAAACAGAACAAATCATCTTCTGCACATGCCCTGATGGCTAGAGTTGGAAGCCTGCTTTAAGAAGTCAGACATCTCTGTCCACATCCCAGAAGGGATGCCATTCAGGGTTTGAAGCTAATGTCCCAGCTCCCGGGATCCCTCTTCCTGCTGCCCCATCACATACAAAGCGTCTGCCCGCATCCCAGCTTTCGGTGTCCTTTGGATCTGCAGAATCAGCAGCCCAGAAAACTTACATTCTCAGCACTGACATGGACTACAGCATGGATGAACCTTGCAAACACTATGCTCAGTATAAGAAGTTCGTCACAGGGCACTTATTGTGTGCTTCTACTTACGTGAAATGTCCAGAGTAGGCAAATCCAAAGACAGACAGAGTAGCGGTTGTCTAGGGCTGGGAGTGGGGGGCAAGGGAGAATGACAGCTAATGGGTATAGCGTTTCCTTCTGGGATGATGGACATGTTCTAAAACTATGTAGTGACAAACTGGATGGCACAACTCTGTGAATATACTAAAAACCACTAAATCATACACTTTAAAATGATTAAAATATTGAATTTTATGTTAAGTTCATCTCAATCCAAAAAAATCTGCCTACAGAATAAAAGTGTATGTTCTTAGCCCCCTTCCCAGACCAACAGAAAGTCTAAGGGGGCCCAGCAACCTGTCTTCCAGATGATTCTGACACATGACAAAGTCCAAGAACCACTCAACTGGCCTAATCCCCATCGACCCCAAACTCAGTGGTCATCAACCCATTCCCGAGCGGCGCACACTGCCTGTGCGTATCCCCTCTCCCACTCGCCTGAATCATGGCAGGCACCACCTCCTCCTGGAAGCTCAGCTCCCAGAACCAGCTGGGTACACCCAGCTACTGAGCAGCCCCATTCTCCTAGGGAAGGTACTAACACATTCACACGACACGGTGAGAGCCCAGGGCCTGCCAGTGAACCCCAGAGTGGGTGCTGCCCAAGGCTGGGTCCTGCTCTGGACCCTATGAGCTCCCATGCAGGCTGCAGGACCAGCTTTCACAGCCCTTCTTTC